CTCGAGGCTGGGAGCCGTCGGCTTGGAACAGAGTACTGGTCTAAACGCAGACTCGGCGTCTCATGCCTGAGCGCCACGAGCCACCAGCATGTTGGGGGGATTTGCTCTCCAGACAGGTACCCAGAATTTTGGAAGTATTGAAGGAATGTCACGTGCAAACGGCTTGGTATGTTTTACTCTTGACTGGCACGTGCTTAAACGACGCAACTCCGGAACGTAGAATGTTGACCATTTTAGTCTAAAAACGCAGACTCGGCGTCTCATGCCTGAGCGCCACGAGCCACCAGCATGTTGGGGGGATTTGCTCTCCAGACAGGTACCCAGAATTTTGGAAGTATTGAAGGAATGTCACGTGCAAACGGCTTGGTATGTTTTACTCTTGACTGGCACGTGCTTAAACGACGCAACTCCGGAACGTAGAATGTTGACCATTTTAGTCTAACCAAAAAAAACAATTAATTTTATAAATTCTCTTTCAGACAAAAAGGAGTCTCACGCCACAAAGCCTTGTTTTACAGATGAAGCAGTTCAGAGTTTACTCTACAAGATGACAGGGTTGGATTTACAGAAGATTTTTAGACCCCTTAAACAGGAGCTTAAACCACCCACGTACAAATTAATGACAGAAAGTGAGCTAGCGGAGGTGTGATTCCATTCTTTATCTATGGGAAATGTTACCAAGAAAGCACCATTTAAAATTTTTTTTAAATCTGTTTAGTGTCCCTAAAATTCTGTAATAATTCAAGTATAATCTGACTGTGTGTATCGGACTCCTCTTTTCTTTGATCTTACCCATTATGTCCTTACCAATTTGTCTTCATTTAATAGGCTGTAGCAGGTTGATGAATTCATAATCATTAAAGCCCATGGAAAAGTTGATATTCAGCACAACTGCAGGGATGAAATTCGCTTTTTTTTTTTTTTTAAAGGAAAATGAAACCTATAGTAAACGAACAAAAAATGGCAGAGCAAGTTGGGCACAGTTGTACAGTAATACAATAAATGTTTTAACTCTTTTAACTTACTAAATGTTGTTGTAGTGATGCCTTTTTAAGTATCTCAGAAGTTATTTTACCCCTAAAGTATCTTTATTTTTTTCTCTTTGGTTTTGATTGATTGTATATAGAAGAGAGTAAATTGAATATAGTACTGTGCCCCCCCCCCCAAATGACAACCTTTTAGTTAAACTTCATTTCTTTTCTGTGCTACTCTGTGTGTTGTGTTTATACTTGTTTCATGTTCAAACTAAAGTCTGGAAGTCTTTTCTCTTCTTTGTTCCCTGGCTGAACCTTTGGACAGTTGAATTTTGTGACTACCATAATCTTTGGTCTTTCCTAAGCAAGTGGTGATATCATAATGCACCCTGTTTAAAAGTGTATGTAGGTACTTACCTGAAGTAAACCAAATGATTTCTTCCTCTTTGGACCTATTATCTACATTTCTCAATTTCCAGTCTTCCTTCAGGAGAAGCACTCGAGTATGATAAAACAGAGTTTTTAAGTTAGGACAAGTGGTATATCATTTATGCAAGAATTGCCTGGATAGTACTTTAGACCTCAAGTGTTTCTCTTACTAATACATGTCAGTGTAGTAAAAATTGAGGGAACTTTATTTTTTTTAAATGTTCTTCCCAGTGCTGAATGACTTTCTAACAGTGTGATATTTCTTTATACAGTTAATGGATTTTCCTTTTTTTAGGCCACAAGAAAAGCCATTCAGGAAGCTAAAGAACTATTAAAAATGTCCCCTGTTCTGAGTGAGCGAGAGCCAATTGATGATGTGTTAGCAGAAGACAGGATCCTAGAAGGAACTGAAACTGCCAAATATGTGTTTACTGATATAACTTACAGTACACCACACCGTGTGAGTAACTTACTAATATATTTGTGCTGCAAAAAAGCTTGACTGCTACATTATTTTTACTTGTAAGTTCAAAGGAATAATCTTGGGCTTCACTAAAATGTGTTGCCACAGTTCAACCTCAATAAGTACAGTATACAATTGAGGAAATATGTATTGCCAGTAGAATTCAAAATTATATTCTGATGCTGTAATGCAGGAATTTCTCTGAAAAAGGGGGAAGGGGAATGAGATCTAATATATGAATGTTCACATGTGCACCAGAGGCTTGCAATTATCCAGCAAATGATCAGTGAATTTCTTTTGTAGCTAGATTTTTTTCCATCTCTAGAACATGACTAAAATCATATTTATAAAAGTCATCAGAAATATGAAAGACATTGGATAAGTTTACAGTTAAGTGAATAGGAAAGCTGTTTTCTAGCAATTCTGCTTGTCATAAGCTGCTGTGCAGAATATTTTCCCAGACAGATTTCCTCCACCTAAGCTCTGAATACTAAGGGAATGATTAGGAGTAAAGGAGCGATAAAACACTGAAACTTTTTTTCTCCCTTTAATTTTAGGAACGTTTCATTGTAGTTAGAGAACCAACTGGTGTGTTACGTAAAGCCACCTGGGAAGAACGGGACAGGATGATACAAGTGTACTTCCCAAGAGAGGGACGCAAACTTGTTCCACCACCAATATTCAAGGATGAAAATCTTTTGGTAAAATTTTACTTTGGTTTGTGGAGATTCATCACTAGTGCTATTCTTCTAATATAGGAAGATACTGAAATTGAAAGTTTAAAACTTTCAGAAAGCTGGGTTTTTTTTTAAAATATCACTTTAGAGGTAGTTGTTTAGAAAGCCTGTAGTGTGCATGCAGTTAGTCATGTATAAAGATATTTATCAGCAAACTTCACTTTAATAAATGTACAGGTCTGATAATCAAGTACAAACTACTAATCACATCTGATTTGTCTGGACAGGATTTATCTGATATGTTACTCGGCCATCCTTCATTACTGTGTTTATTGATAAGACTGCATGGTTGACCTGAAGCTGAAAATGTAACATGGCTTCTGGCAAACAAATTGTTTTCTTTATTTGTATATATTCTGTTTCACTATTACAGTAAGGAATCTAAGGGCAATTATTGTGCTCAGGTGACTTGTTGTTCTTGGTCTGGTACTTGTTGAAACTTCCTGAGAGGTATCATTACCTAAAATAGAAATGTACTGTCTAACTTTTTTAAATTTTAGATTGATATAGTATTCATTCCTGAATTACAACTGTCATTTTAGACTGTGTTTCGTGAGGATCGTCATGAAGATATACTTAACCTATGCATTGCACAGTTTGAGCCAGATTCAGCTAACTATATCAGAGTAAGTGCATTGTATTATTTTAATAGGAAGTTGTATGAGAGTAAGAGTTCTTTGTAGGCCACAGCTATTGAAAAATATTACCTTTTAATAGCTGTGTAGATATAAAAAAGAAACTGGAAAATTAGTGAAAATGTATATCTGGCTCTTGTAGTATGTACTTTGCTATGAGACTAGCATGTTAGGAAAACAAATCAGTCTGATTATATCTATTTCTGATCCTACATTTTCACTTAGTAAATTATATGCAATTGTCGCTTGTAACAATATTTCGTTTCAAAACAAATTCAACTTTACTGAATCCATAAACTGTATAATATGTACAAAATTGATCCATGTTAGTGACACTTACCAACTTGATATCTGGTGAGTGTGATAAGTTAAAAATGGCTTCAGATATTACCCATAGTATAGGCTCCTTGTTGTTAGTTTTTTTTTTTCTCTTGTGGCAGTGTGAAAGACCCCCAGATTACATACAGTGCTGTTGCACAGAGTAATCAGACTAAAAATCTCAACTTGTTATAAGATTGCACCTCCCTAAACCTTGACTCTCTAGACAGGCAACAGAGAGAACCCTGGTGACCAGAAGTCCAACAGTAGGAAGACTAGCAGCTGGAAGCCTGGTGGAGTTGCACGGCAGCCTGGCAGGGGAACTGGGACCATGGCCATTCAAATTGAGGAGCTGGGGGCAGCCTGGCATGGGGGTGGAGAGGATAGCCAGGCAAAGGCTGGAAGTGGAGCCAGAAGCGGAGCAGGAAGCTGGCTACAGGGGACCTCCCCTGGTCTGGCAAATTCCCTCATTCTGGACCAGTCAGGTGCCTACGGTGTTGGACCAGGGAGAGACAACCTGTAGTAATAAGAGTAGCTACAAAAATTTTCTGGAAAAATTTGTAAGTTCTCTTAGCCATGGGAATCAGTGAACAAGAGAAAGATAAGCTTTGAAATAACAGTATAAGATTTAAAACACTGACAACAATCTCGCCTGCATACATTTACATGTGTGTAGTTTTTATTTATAGGGGTAGTCCCATTGACTCCAGTAAGACTACTCATGAGTAAATTTATCTGTTTACAGAATGTAACTGGAGCAGACGCAAACAGTTCTTAAGATTGAGTTAAATGAAATAGTACTGCTTTTAGTACTAACTCCTCTAAATTATTTACAGGCTCTAAGATTTATAAAGATTGGTTCCTAACTTTAAGCACCCATATTTCAAGCATGCAAGTGGCCTGATTTTTAAAAACTGTTAAGAGCCCTATAATTTCTACTTGGAATAAAGAAGAACTTAATTTCATACCCTTTGTTTTAACTCTCAAACTGAATTCTTAATTCTGTGCATATGATAGTTGAAAAACTTAGTTTGTTGAAAATGTACAAAAAATAGTTTCACGTTTAGTTTCTATTCCCTTTTTACTCTTTTCTAATAACCTTTCCTATACTCTGCCATAAGATTACTCATTTTGGGCTTCGTTGTCACCCTTACACTGAATAGCATCTTCTGTAAGAAGTAGTCCCTTGAAATGAATGTTAAACCAACCATTCCCATTACCAAATAGTGAGGTTTCCTGCTGTCAGAACTTGAAAGTGAAAAAATATTAATAGGAATTATTTGTTTTCATTGTTTGAACTGGAATATAATGTGAAAATAAATCTATTTTTGAAAAGGCAAAAATTTTAAACAGTTTCTTTTCTGTAAACTATTAGCACACTCACACCTGTGCAGCTGGTTCATTGTGTGGATAAGTTGCCAACCACACACCACTCGCTTCCTCAAACTTTAGTGTGTAGTGAAGGCAGATTGAAGGCTGCAGACTAATAACTTCTGAAAATAGTAAGTTGTTAGCTATGACTATTTGCTTTTAATTAACTTCCTGGGGATTGGCATTTCCCAATGTGGTGTGCTGTGGCCTAAAACTAAGATTTTTGCATATAATAACCTATGTTTGAGATTTTTGACTCAATCTCCGTGCAGTCAGTACTATTTTAGATCTTTGCTGGTCATGTAAAGATAGATCTGTCGCTCTCTTCTGGTCGTTTAGCAGGATAGTAAACTAAGATCACAAAGTAGAAGGGAATATTCTTCCACAAGGATTTGTGATTTAACATTAACAGCTCTCATTCTGAATAGGTTCATCATCGGACATATGACGACATTGATAAACATGCCAAATATCATCTTCTACGTTCAACAAGACACTTTGGAGGAATGGTTTGGTATCTAGTAAATAGGAAGAAGACCGATGGCTTATTAATAGATATGATTCAGAGAAATTTGTAAGTACTGTTTGTTGGACACTAGCTTTGCTGTGTTTTTCTAGCATTGAATACAGTTAATCTAATTTCATTTCAAATAGTTATGAAAATTACGAGTGCAAAATTTTTCCTGTAAAAACTGGGTTTTGAGTTCTAAAATAGAAAGCATGGGGTGAATTTTGCCAATATGGATCTATACATTGTATTTAAATCATAATTGAAAATTATAACCTTTGGCATATTTTAACAGTGGAGTGTTCAAACTCACTCTTAAATGTATATCTTATTTTAAGTGGAAGTTTATGGAGGACTGAGGACTAGGTGAAAACAAAATAGCATTAATCCTTGTATACCCGGGGTGGGCAATTTTTAATGGGAGGTCCACTCCAAGATTTAGTAAGTTGTCAAAGGCCACATTTCTGTGTAGGGAGTGTGAGGGGTGGGATGTAGAAGTGAG